CCCACTGCGCCACCGGGGGCTCCCGGAGATATGATAGCCATGTATAAATATGTGAGAGGAAGCCACGGGGAGGAGGGAGCAAGCTTGTTTTCTGCTTCCTTGGAGACTAGGACGCAAAACAATGGCTTCAAACTACAAGAAAGGAGATTCCATCTGAACATGAGGAAGAACTTCCTGACTATGAGAGCCATTCAGCAGTGGAACTCTCTGCCCCGAAGTGTGGTGGAGGCTCCTTCTTTGGAAGCTTTTAAATAGAGGCTGGATGGCCATCTGTCAGGGGTGATTTGAATGCAATATTCTTGGCAGGGGGTTGGACTGGATGGCCCATGAGGTCTCTTCCAACTCTTTGATTCTATGATTCTATAATGCTACTCAAAATAGGTCCCACTGATCTCAATGGGACCTACTCCCAGGCACATTGACACAGGACAGCAGTAAAGAAGTTATTTCTGGACTAAAATTCAAAGCTACATCAGAACTGGCTTTTGAAATATTTTGCTTCAGTCACAGAAATCACACACATTCAATATCTATTGAAATGCAAAAACAGAAGCATCTACAATGGTGAGGACACAAAATATACACCAGCTTGGCTTATGGAATTACTTCTCTGGCATTATTGTTGCTGGTCTCAAGATGTAAAATATCTTGAGATATTAGAGGAGTTGCAGGCCCTACTCCTCCATTTTTTGGCATATATGAAAATTTAGCAGCCCATTCTGATAAACAACTTTAAATTACTTATGGGATAAACAAGCTAAAAGAAAAAGAAGAAGCCATCTTCACAAGTCAAGAAGTGGTCTGGAAGCACTGGATAAAACTCGGAACCCCTTGCAACTCTGATTAAATCTTCTAGCTTGATAGTTTTGGAGTGCAATTCTGCATTTCCACTTCTGGGAACTCCACTTAAGCACAGTACAAGGCCCCCAAGCAGGTCATGTCACTGTAATACCAATTTGCTGTTTTTCGTTGCAGTTAACATAATTAAAATGAAAAGCGTGACTGACCTATGTTAATCCCCTGAGACTAGGGCCATGGCTTCACTGCTATCTTTGATAACTTTTGTAGTTCCCTTGCTCTTGTTTGATTCACAATCTAAGTAAAAGTAAACATTTTGCTGGCATTTAAAGTAAGCGTTCAGCTTCAGCAACCTTTGGCTTGGTTCACTTTGCATCTAAGTAGATATATGTTTTGATGAACTAAAGGCATGCATTTCTATTAAGTTTTTCACGAAAGGGTCACAAATATATATCACAAAACTACAATTGGGTTTCTCTGGATCTCTATAGGGAGGGAATAATAACACACTCCCAACTGTCTACCTCAAGGTGCTCAGAGGACACTCCTTAAGCCCACTGGGTAGATCTCAATAACATGCAGAGAAGCTGCAAGCTACCTTGATCTTTTAAAAGTGGAATAATAATTTCAGAAGCAAGATGAGTAAAAAATGAAAGAAAAGTGCCAAGGTGCTTGCCTTTGACAATAAAGACAAAAGGTGTGACTCTTAGAACTGACATTCACCAAACTGAGAACACATTTTGTGATGAACGTGCACAGGAGTTTCAACATCCTGCATATATTACACATGGAATATTTTTAATTGTTTCTTTTTAGCCTTTTGATTTATAGCTTTCTCCTGTTCTTGTCTGATGGGAGCATTGTATTTTTAACATCCATGAAATATATCAATATCAAACAAATATTTTTTAAAAAAATTGAAATTAACAAGGTGAGTAGCAGTAGAAACATGTAAACTCAGATATCAATTACACTGCTATTACTTCTCAGCAATCCTTAGTACTTTCTCAGTTTTGCTTACCATATATACTTGAGTATAAGCCAACCCAAATATAAGCCAAGGCACCTAATTTTACCACAAAACACTGGGAAAACGTATTGACTCAAGTATAAGCTTAGGGTGGGAAATGCAGCAGCTACTGGTAAACTTAAAAATAAAATAAGATAGCAATAAAATTATATTAATTAAGGCATAAGTAGGTTAAATGTTTTTTAATATTTACCATCTTTCAAAGAAAAACAGTAAACTAGCTCTGTAAGAGGAAAAGTAGGGTCAACAAAAACAATATGGTTTATCTGTCCGAAAGTATCTCCCACTACAACCCACCACAAAGGTTAAGATTGTCGGGGTAGGCCCTTCTCTCGGTTCTACCATCCTCACAAACATGACTGGGGGGATGAGAGACGGGGCCTTCTCAGTGATGGCCCCTTGTCTGTGGAACTCCCTTCCCAGTGACATCAGATCAGCCCCCTCCCTCCTATCCTTTGGAAAACAACTCAAAACATGGTTGTGGGACCAAGCATTCGAACAATAAATGCAGCAATCAAGATTGAGACTAACTCTATGTGACTGACACCTGGACCATGATTTAAATTTGCATGATTTTAAATGAATGTTTAATAATTAATGTTTTAATTGTTGTTTTAACTGGAGTTGTTATTTATGATTTTGTTTCATGGCATCAAATGGTTGCCTGCTGGAAGCCACCATGAGTGACCCCCTCGGGGGTGAGAAGGATGGGATACAAATATATGAAATAAATAAATAAATAAATAAATAAATAAATAAATAATTGTATCAACAATAACTTAATAATAATAATAAAATTGATAATACTTCATTTGTATCCTACCCTGTTTCCCCATGGGGACTCAGGCTGGCTTCCAACATAGTAACAGGCAAACATTCAATGCCTATATAAACAATGCAGACCTAGATCTATAATTTTATATATATGCATATGCTCTGTGCATAATGAGTACCTTTAAAACAAAAGAACCAAGGAACGAAATCACACCAAATTTGGCAACAAAACGTCTCACAACACAAGGAGTGACCATCACTCAAAAATTATGATTTTGTCATTTGGGAGTTGTAGTTTCTGGGATTTATAGTTCACCTATAATCAAAGAGCATTCTGAACTTCACCAATGATGGAATTGAACCAAACTTGGCACACAGGGCTCCCATGACCAACAGAAAACACTAGAAGGGTTTGGTGGTTATTGACCTTGAGTTTGGGAGTTGTAGTTCACCTACATCTAGAGAGCACTGTGGACTCAAACAATGATGGATCTGGACCAAACTTGGCACAAATACTCAATATGCCCAAATGTGAACACAGATGGAGTTTGTGGGAAATAGACCTTGACGTTTGGGAGTTGTAGTTACTGGGATTTATAGTTCACCTCCAATCAGGGAGCACTCTGAATCCCACCAACGACAGAATTGGGGCAAAGTTCCCACACAGAACCCCCATGACCAACAGAAAATACACCACCCTGGTCTTGACTTCCCAGGTTGAGAAATGTTGCCTTAAGGCCATCCAGTCCAACTCCCTTCATCAGTGCAAGAAAACATAATCAAAACCCTCCTGACAAAGGGCCATCCAGCCATTCACACACACACACACACATATGTATATGACAGATGCAGTATCATAGATTTGAAAGGGACCCCTAAAGAAGGACAATGATATGTTGCATGTTCCAGAGTAGGCAAACCAGACAATCTCCACATCAACATTGACAAAGAAACAGCAAGAAATAATGTTTACCCACAAGCATAAAAACATTATATATATTAGAAACCAACACTTTCTCATTACTTTATTTTCCAGATTACCAGACTGGGCCACAGCAACACATGGCAGGGGACCGCTAGTAGATCTATAATTATATGTACTAATTTCACATATGCTTTTCCCCCTGAAACATTTGCAAATCCTCTATATATGTGCATTTGCAATATTTGCAAGCCCTATATATCTATGTTTATATCTATCTAGACATCTCTCTATACATGTGTGTTTACATTTCCCCTGCAATATTTGCAAGCCCTATATATCTATATTCCTATCTATCTAGACATGTCTGTACATATTCGTGTGTGCATTTCCCCCTGTAATATTTGCAAGCCGTATATTTCTATATTCATATTTATTTGTCTAGACATCTCTCTATATATACATAATTATATCTATATAGAATTTGTATAGACTTGCAAACATGTGAGGGGAAATTTATATATACATGCTTTCTGTGGGACTAAGCAAACAACTACAGTCAGGACTCACATATTGTGATCTATCTAGCACAACAACAGCAGTTAAAATGAAAATGCTCGGCAAACAGATACTTTCTTACTCCTTAAAAGAGACTAGGAAAGGACAGTGTATCATTTGAAGAATTGAAAATGCCAACAGAATGTACATGCAAGAGATAATATATCATTTTAAGGATGATCTGGAAAAAAATGGTGGTTTCGTTTTGTAAGAATAATTTGTCTGTCTGCAAGAGAGCAGTCATTAAGCCCCAAAAATTATCAGTTGCCAATGTCTCTACTATATTGACCAGATTCTACCATAGTCATTTTGGGGGGTACAACTTCCTTAACAGTAATGCTGTCTTGAGAATTGTAACCCTAAAAAAGTATCTTTTTCAAGATCTGTAATCATTTTTTTAAAGTGATGCAACAATCCTACTTTGTTATTGATGTTCAAAAATGAATATTTATCCTTTTAATCTCTACAGTTTGTCTCCTACCAAACAGATTTTGTTTTTGTTTTTTGTTTTTTTTTGTTTTTTGGCCATTGGGCCACCCAAGACAATTAGCTGGTCTTATTCCCTCTTTTCAGGAACTGAGTTTTTTAATTAGTCTAAGCATTTTCATGTCAGAGGCACCAATGGAAGATTGCACTACTTATGCAGCTGTTAGCCATTTGGGACGAGATTCCCAATCTGTCAATCGATAACACAAGTGTCAACTTTCCGCTAGCTAGCTAATGAGATGATTTTCTAGCACACTAAATCATAATTCCATACCCATCTCATCTAGGGTGATACTGCTCAAGACATGACAAATAGAGAAAATTTAGCAAACATACATCAACTCAACATGAACATTTGAGTAGAACATGAGAGCGAGACACAATGATGGAGAAGCAGGAGGAGGAAAAGGAGGCGAAGTTGCTTAGACTTACCACCAGAGCTGTTGATCTGTTACTCAGGAGCTTTTCAATATCGCGGGCTGCACTTTCCACTAGCTGCTGTGCATTATTGGCTTCTATGGTGTATAATTCTCGCTTTTCCTGATATATCTGTAAGGAAATGGTAGTGAGACACAGTTAGAAACAGAGATGTAAAAATTCCAGAATGTATTACACTGTGGGGGGGGGGGGGTCTCCCTTTTTTCACAGAAACATCGAGTTGGAAAAGACCTCGTGGGCCATCTAGTCCAACCCCCTGACAAGAAGCAGGTAAATTGAGAAATCAGGAAGGAATGTGAGAGGTGAAATAAGATGAGCATTTACACATTGAAACATGATTTAGTAAAAAAAAAAAGTGTGTTTCAGAAAGTAATTACAAATTGTACCGTAATTGTAACATTCTCCCCTGGGAGTGGAACCTATATTTTCACTATTCCTTGAAGTCCATAACTTACACTGTAGGATGGAGTTCATAAATGCTTTATTGATCACCACAGACCACATTAATAGTTCAGAGGACTCATTACATCATGGATCTAGGGCTATCCTTTCACCTTCTCCTATTCAAAGCAAAAAGCCCTCCCTTAGATCTTACCAGGCCCGTAGCCAGGATTTCGATTGGGGGGGGGGGTGAGTTTGTTTCGGGGGGGGGCTGAGTCTGAGTGAAAGAGGGTCTACCTTGCTAACCTTTTGTATCATTACCCCAATACCCCCATGTATATGGGATATATTGAGTATGGTGATCAGATCATGATATGAATAACCATAACAGTTTAAATAATGCACCAGTAAAGCCTTTTCGCGAACCATTATGAGAATTTCGCTACATGCCTGGATCTTACCATCCCTGCGCACATATATTCACTTTCACCATGCAGGCTGAAAAATTGCTACACAATCCCTTCCTCCATCCCAATGGCACAACATATCTTTTAAAGGCATACAAGAATAAGAAGGCACAGCTCCATCATGTCCATCACGGCAGCTCTGGGGAGCCGCCCCTCAATCATAACTATAACTATAATGCTATAGGCTTGCAGGAAGACAAAGACAGGCAACATCTGTTGGACTTAATTCCCTGCTCTACTGCCACTTCCTTTTCTCTAGGGCCCCTTCAACACTGACATATAATCCAGGTTATCAAAGCAGATCATCCACATAGAATCATAGAATCATAGAATCAAAGAGTTGGAAGAGACCTCATGGGCCATCCAGTCCAACCCCCTGCCAAGAAGCAGGAATATTGCATTCAAATCCCTCCTGACAGATGGCCACCCAGACTTTGTTTAAATGCTTCCAAAGAAGGAGCTTTCACCAGACTCTGAGGCAGAGAGTTCCACTGCTGAATGGCTCTTCTTACAGTCAGGAAGTTCTTCCTAATGTTCAATGGAATCTCCTCTCTTGTAGTTTGAAGCCATTGTTCCTTGTCCTAGTCTCCAGGGAAGCAGAAAACAAGCTTGCTCCCTCCTCCCTGTGGCTTCCTCTCACATATTTATACATGGCTATCATGTCTCCTCTCAGCCTTCTCTTCTTCAGGCTAAACATGCCCAGCTCCTTAAGCCGCTCCTCATAGGGCTTGTTCTCCAGACTTGATCATTTTAGTCGCCCTCCTCTGGACACATTCCAGCTTGTCAACATCTCTCTTGAATTGTGGTGCCCAGAATTGGACACAATATTCCAGGTGTGGTCTAACCAAAGCAGAATAGAGGGGTAGCATTACTTCCTTAGATCTAGACACTATGCTCCTATTAATGCAGACCAAAATCCCATTGGCTTTTTTTGCCGCCACATCACATTGTTGGCTCATGTTTAACTTGCTGTCCACGAGGACCCCAAGATCTTTTTCACACGTACTGCTCTCGAGCCAGGCATCCCCCATTCTGTATCTTTGCATTTGCATTTTGTTTTTTTATGCCTAAGTGGAGTATCTTGCATTTGTCCCTGTTGAACTTCATTTTGTTAGTTTTGGCCCATCTCTCTAATCTGTCAAGATCATTTTGAATTCTGCTCCTGTCCTCTGGAGTATTGGCTATCCCTCCCAATTTGGTGTCATCTGCAAACTTGATGATCATGCCTTCTAGCCCTTCATCTAAGTCATTAATAAAGATGTTGAACAGGACCGGGCCCAGGACGGAACCCTGCGGCACTCCACTTGTCACTTCTTTCCAAGATGAAGAGGAAGCATTAGTGAGCACTCTCTGTGTTCGTCCACTTAACCAATTACAGATCCACCTCACCGTAGTTTTGTCTAGCCCACATTGGACTAGTTTCCTTGCCAGAAGGTCATGGGGGACCTTGTCGAAGGCCTTACTGAAATCCAGGTACGCTACATCCACGGCATTCCCCGCATCTACCCAGCTTGTAACTCTATCGAAAAAAGAGATCAGATTAGTCTGGCATGACTTGTTTTTGATAAATCCATGTTGACTATTAGCAATGACCGCATTTGTTTCTAAGTGTTTGCAGACCACTTCCTTAACAATCTTTTCCAGAATCTTGCCTGGTATCGACGTGAGGCTGACCGGACGGTAATTGTTTGGGTCATCCTTTTTTCCCTTCTTGAAGATTGGGACCACATTGGCCCTCCTCCAATCTGCTGGAACTTCTCCCGTTCTCCAAGAACTCTCAGAGATGGTTGCCAATGGTTCCGAAATGACTTCCGCTAGTTCCTTCAATACTCTGGGGTGTAGTTGATCTGGCCCTGGGGACTTGAACTCATTAAGAGCGGCCAGGTATTCCTGGACGACTTCTTTCCCAATTTGGGGTTGGATGTCCTCCAATCCCTCATCCACTCCATCTTGCTGAGGTTGAAGACTCTCTTTTTGTGAGAAGACCGAGGCAAAGAAGGCATTAAGTAGTTCTGCCTTTTCCCTATCCCCTGTCAGCATTGCCCCATCTTCTCCTCGAAAAGGTCCTATCGCCTCCTTGTTTTTCCTTTTTCTACTGACATAAGAATAGAAGCCCTTTTTATTGTTTTTAATGTCCCTGGCAAGCCTGAGCTCGTTTTTGTGCTTTAGCCTTGCGGACCTTTTCCCTACAGGTGTTGGCTATTTGTTTGAATTCTTCTTTGGTGATTTCTCCCTTTTTCCAGTTCTTGTGCATGTCTCTTTTGTGTCTCAGCACAGTTAGAAGTTCTTTGGACATCCATTCTGGCTTCTTTGCACTTGTCCTATTTTTTCTTTTTGTTGGCACGGTTTGCAACTGCGCCTTGAATATTTCACTCTTGAGAAACTCCCATCCATCCGTAACTCCCTTGTCTTTTAGTATCTGTGTCCACGGAATGCTGCTCAGTGTTTCCTTCATTTTTTGGAAATCAGCTCTCCTAAAGTCCAAAATGCGGGTTTGACTTGTCTTAGTTTCGGCCTTCCTTTGTACCTCAAATTGCAGGAGCACATGGTCACTTGCCCCTAAGGATCCTACCACTTCGACCGCATCGATCAGGTCCTCCGCATTTGTTAGGATGAGATCAAGAGTAGCCAATCCCCTTGTTGCCTCTTCTACCTTCTGGATCATGAAATTGTCTGCAAGGCAAGTGAGGAATTTGTTGGACCTTGTACTCTTGGCCGAGTTTGTTTTCCAGCAAATATCGGGATAGTTGAAATCGCCCATGACTACTACATCTCTTTTCTGTGCCTGTTTGGCCAACTGTTGGCAGAAGACTTCATCAAGTTCTTCCTCCTGGCTTGGGGGTCTGTAGTAGACGCCTACAACGACATCTTTTTGAGTCCCAGTTCCCTTGATTCTTATCCAGATGATTTCAAGCTGGTTTCCCAGATTGCTGTCTTGAATCTCTTCTGGAGCATAAGAGTTTTTGACATATAAGGCTACTCCGCCTCCTCTCCCCTTTGTTCGGTTTCTGTGAAAGAGGTTATACCCCTCGATATCTACATTCCAGCGATAGGAGTCATCCCACCAGGTTTCAGTGATCCCTATGATATCATATTTGTGGTGTTGTGCTAAAAGTTGGAGTTCGTCTTGTTTATTTCCCATGCTCTGTGCATTAGTGTAAAGACATGTGAGCCCCTGAGATCTTCCCTTGAGCTGTTTAATTGGGATTATTGTGCTTTTGGTACTTGGTCCTTGTTGTGTTTGTGCAGCCCTCCGTTTAGCCTTCTGGCGATTCCCAAACATTATGGGTAAAGTAGTGTTCGCAAGGCTGTTGTCCCCCTCCCCCGGTGGACCTAGTTTAAAGTGCGTCTAATGAGGTTTGCGAGTCTGTGAGCAAAAAGGTGTTTTCCTACTTGTGTGAGATGCACCCCATCCCTTGCCAGTAGGCCATCCTCCTGGAAAAGCAGGCCATGGTCGAGGAAGCCAAAGCGTTCCTCCTGACACCATTTTCTAAGCCAGTCATTGACCTGTACTATTTTTCTGGCTCTTGTGAGTCCGTGTCTTACAACAGGGAGGAGGGATGAAAAGACCACCTGTACATTACATTCTTTTAGCTTTGCTCCTAGAGCTCGAAAATCATTTGTGATCTTTTGAAACGTATGCTTAGCAGTATCATTGGTTCCTACATGAATCAACATGAGGGGAGGACGGTGATAGGGCTTGAGGATTTTATATGGCAATGTAGAAGGATTTATATGTCCCGTCTTACGCAGAATTAATTTGAAGGGCAGGAAACGATGACATTTTCAATTAGTAAACTTCCCTGGGAGTCTTTCCAGCTGAACAGCAGGATAAAATTTTTATGAAAGATAGATACCATAGATAGATAGATAGATAGATAGATAGATAGATAGATAGATAGATAGGGATCTATCTACCAATCAGCCAAGCAGGTTGACCAGTATGGAAACAGCCCTCTGGGTATAATCTGTAAGGAGTGGTTGATATGAGGGCTGGCTACCAGTGCACTTGGCTGGCACAAACAGGAATCTTGAGGCTGCTGCCTTTCCTAATACATTCACCCCTAGTCTGGAATAGCTTCTGCTGGGCAAGATCTTACCCTGCCTGATCAATAAAGCCAACGTGACCAGTTTTACTGCTTTCCACACACACACCCCTCAACTCTCACGAGCCTCCTTGCTGGTGCCCCCTCTCCCAAAGCTGTGGTCGACTAATTTGCTGAGGCTAGTGGCCAGATGAGTGGCCTCTTCATTTCTCTAAAT